CGCTTAAAGCATTTCCTTGGTTTCTGCTGTAAACAAAGCAGCGCTGCACTTATGAACTTTAATATGCTTTATACAGAGGCAAGAGGAAAAGAAAAAATATCATCGAAAGACAGTAAGTTCCCCTCAGACATACATTCATATAAACTCCTACCTCTAATTGAATCGCGATTTGTTTAGCATCTCAACCGATTTGAATCATCACATATTTAAATCGATTTTCAACCGGCTCGCAGTTAATCGTTACATCCCTATCTAAAAATGTTAATTTCTAGTAAAAATGTAAATGTTAATATTATAAAGATAGAAGGGCAAACACGTATGGAATATTGCCAAAAATACATAATTTTTTTTGTTGTATCATCCAGTCTTAGTCTGGTGTTTTGTAGTAGCCAACCACAACTACTAGTATAATAGCAAAAGGGCATGTGTACCATAGTGAGAATTCCCATGAGGCCAATGGGTATCGGATCCTGTTTGACTCTCTCTGCGACCAGATCCACCAGCAGCATCAGCATGTTGTAGATGCCCTCATGAATCTCTGTTCCCCACTTGTGCACCGCACTGGACGTCAGCAACTACAACACCATTTAACACCCAAGTTATTAATCTTTCCACATCTTGCCGTTTCTAACAATTTATTACAAACACCTGATAGCGTGTAGAGCTTATGTGTTTACATGCCTGCTTATCCAAACACACACACACACACACACACACAAACCTTTTTGAAGGCTTCAGGCATGCAGCGGTCAATGAACCTCTTACAGTTCTCATCTGCATCAGCCAGGCCTACAGAGAAGAAAAGAAATTTGTGTTGTTTCCTTCTAGAGTGCACACATTAAATCATGTACATAAAAAAACAGAATCAGAACTCACCCAGTCTGGCCAGGCAGGTGGAGGCGATGAGGCACTTGCCGAGTGATTCCTCTCTCTTGTACGGGATGGACCAGTGATCAGTGAACACTCTGCTCTCCAGCTCATACAGATTAGTGGTGGGAAACTCCATACTGTTCCCAGAACAGTTCCCGTTCTCATCATTAGTCCTCTATAAGAGACAGAAAAAGATAGATGTGTCACAACATGAAGATTTGCAAATACTGTTTTTCATATAGTACAGCCTTTTAAAGCAGTTCCATCAGGGCCAGGGTCTCTAAGTTCAGCAAGGCTGCATTCATTATTTATGATAAAAAATATAGTCAAAATATAAGTAATATTCTGAAATATTATTAATTTAAAATAACTGTATACTGTTTGAATATATTTTAAAATCAAATGTATTCCTGTGATGCAAAGCTGAATTTTCTGCATCATTACTCCAGTGTCACATGATCCTTCAGAAATCATTCTAATATGCTGATTTGATGTTTAAGAATCATTTCCAAGTATTATCAATGTTGAACACAGTTTTTCAGGATTCATTGATGAATAGAAAGTTCAAAAGAACAGTATTTAATTGAAATAGAAATCTTTTGAAAAAGTATAATGTGTTTACTGTCATACATATATTATATATTTTTCATTATGTGTGACATTTGAGTTAAAAAAATATATATGTATATGTGTATATATGTATGTATGTATATGGGACAGAGACAACTCACGTATTGCAGATATGCTGTCCGAAGCAGGCATGTCAACCAACTCACTGATGTGTGATAATAATAACGCAAGCCCTCCCCTATTCCCAGAATAGAACTGAGACAACATACAACCTCTGTACGAGTGTTTTTTTTTTTTACACACTTAGGACAGAATGTGCCAACCAAGGCTACGTAACATCCAACCTATAAAATCTGACAAAAGTGTGTGGTGAAGCCCAGCTCGCCGCCGCACAAATGTCTTGTATTGAAACGCCCTTAAACCATGCCCACGAGGTGGCTAACCCTCGGGTACTATGAGCCCTCAGCCCCTCTGGAGGACTAAGACCCATGCTATTATAACTCAATATAATAGCTTCCACCACCCAGTGGGACAGGCGCTGACGAGAAATAGGTTTACCCTTATGAGAATCAGCCCATGAAACAAATAACTGATTACTCCTTCTTAATCCCTTCGTCCTGTCCACATAATGATGCAACGCACGGACAAGGCACAAACAATGAAGCCGCTCTTCTTCCGATGAGGAAAAAGGCAGCAGATGAAAAGCCAGTAAATCCACCTGTCTACAGGCAAAAGCTGACTCGCTCACTTTAGGCACAAATGCTGGATTCGTCTTGAGAGTTACTCACAAGAAATCCATAGCAAACAGCATACAGGAGTTATGAACCGACAAAGCATGAAGTTCACTAACTCGTTTTGCGGTCGAAAGAGCCAATAACAAAGCAACCTTTAGCGAAAAAAGCCACCGACAGCTCCCACGGCGGAATCAGCGGCTTTGAAACCCTGTTCAGACGCTGCGCACCCCTCATAAACCTGCACACAAGCGGGTGCTGACCAATTGTATTTCTATCAATCCCTACATGGCATGCAGAAATTGCGGCAAGATAAACTTTAACAGTAGAGAAGGCTCTGCCCTTATCTAAAAGTTCTTGCAGAAAACATAACACCTCTGCCACCGAACAGTGAAAAGGAACAATTTGCCTTTGCTCGCACCAAAGCTCAAACACATTCCATTTGCCATCATATACAGAGCGAGTCGAAGCCGCTCTCGCATTTTTAATCATTTCAATCACCCTCGGAGGCAAACCCGTAACACTTAAATTCAACCTCTCACGGGTCAGGCCCAAAGAGCCACTTTGTCTGGTGCCAGGTGAAAAATCTCTCCGCACTCTTGTGAGAGGAGGTCTCTGCGCAACGGGAGAGGCCAAGGCCGATCGTGCAGGAGCTGGATTATCTCTGTCAGCCACAACTTCCCTGGCCAATTTGGAGCGATCAGTATAACTGAGTGACCACACTCTCTTACTCTTTTTAGAGTTGGTACGATCAGACTTAGTGGAGGAAACGCGTAAAGCAGTACGCTTGGCCACGGGTGAGCCAAAGCATCCACACCCATAGGTGCACCGTCTCTCGCCAGAGAAAAGAATAGAGGGCAATGAGTATTTTCGTGCGAGGCGAAGAGACCTACGGCAGCTCGGCCGAACCTTTCCCACAACTGGTTCACTACCTGAGGGT